GTGTGTGTGTGTGTGTGTGAATATGACATGCGTGTTCTTCCTACTGCCTTTTCTGGTGGGCTGGAGGAACTTGGTGGCCCATAGCCTCGTTTAGCCTTTATTTCACATGTTTCCGTCATTCATTCAGTAGCAGCTTCAAGCGCATGTTAATTCCCAGGAGGCCAGTGTGGCTGCGCTGAAAGGAGATACAGATTCTTTATAGTTAGGTCAGGAAGAAAATCCCGGTCTCTTCCAGCAGCTCACAGAGAGGTCAGATGAGTGTTTCCACTTAAAGTTGGAGAGAGATGCAGCCTGAGTTAGGTGCACCCCTTTGGGCTAGTGAGAGTAGAAGGGATTTGGTTGTTGCAATTCATTCTTTACTTTTCAGTGGCAGAAGTGCAGCTTGCCTAGCAGTTTCTTTTATATTGCTCGTAACTATTTAATGTACATCTGGCAGAAACTGCAGGTCCTGGGCTCAGCACCTTTTGGATAAAAGGTTGGGGGGGGGGGGAAGACTCTCCCAAATTTGAATATGAATCGTTGAACGGAAGGCTTTCCTTTCTCTCTTCTCCTCTGTGTTCTAATGGGTTTTGTTTGTTTGTTAACCTGTGAAGTTACTGCTGAGCTTTGCAAGCAGCAGCAAGGAAGTCTGACTGAGCTTTGGGGTTTTGCTGAGGCTTTTTAAAGAACAGTTGTTCCCCCTTAAGTTTACCAGGATGTTTTTAAAATAGTACAGCAGTGCCGTATCTTCTAGTGAGGATGAAGCTCTGCAGTGTGCGTACTGAGACCAGTACTTGTAACTGGTTCCTTTTGATGGAGCTGGTGGTTTAAAAAAAGAATGAGCAATAGAAGTGAAAGTAGCAGGCAGAGCCAAGCGGTGGGTACTTCCATCTTTCCCGCATTCAAGAGGGCTTACATACATCCCTACTGCATCTAGACGGATTTCCTGTTTCAAAGGAACAGATTCCCTCAGTAGTGAGATAGGCAATAGATGGGATGATGATGCATTCTTCTTGTTCACCCGCTGCAGACTGTGGCAACGGCATTGCGCTTTCCAGATAGAGCTTGTTTCATTTGCAGGGGGTGGAGTAATTTACGGTAGGAACTGCTGAGCACTGCCAGGTAGAACCTGGGCCTGTGTTAAGGTTTTAGCTAAATAGCAATCCTGTACCTCCAAAGTCTGCAGGTGGAATGCTAGCGAGCTCCGTAGTTGTTTTGAACGGGGCATGGAATTTCTCTGCCTTTGTGTCTGCTCGTTTAAAAATGTCTGAATGGTTTAGATTAGCTTGACATCTCTGCCCCATTGTTTTTCAAGGAGTTTCATCTGTGCTTTAAACCGTGCAGCAGCCATATTGCCAGGATTGCAGTGAGTTGTAGGGAGGTTAGCTGAGGGTACGCTTCACTTGAATCAATTCAAGGGTGATTCATCTTTCCAATGAGCTGCGTTTTTAGGGAGCAGGCACGTTAGTTTCCCTATGCGGTTGTAGTAAGCGTTTGAGCAATGACTAGCCTTTCCTTGTTTAGTTGTCTTCAAAGCAATATCGGGGATTTAGATCACCAAAATCTGTTGCTGATCAATAGAAAAGATGAAGATAAGTGAACTTAGTGGACATGGCCCATGTTCTGGGGTTTCTCTTGTCTTAGAGCTACCCTCAAGTTGCAAAGGAGTTGGCCACGTGCCCCTTCAATGCCCGCCACCTTGTTCCTCAAGCTGACCTGCGCGATCACATATCAAATTGCCGTGACAAAAGGCCCGTTGAGGAAGATATAGGTAAGAGAACCACGCATGCTCCGAGACATGTGTTCATGCTGGGGACTCTGGTCCCCTCTTTGTAAGGACTGCTCATAGAGTAACTGGAAAACAGGAAACCAAATATTGTCTATAGCTTTGTGCAGCAGAGGAGCCTTGGGAAACGAGAGTCATATTCACTTCAACTTCAACTCTTCAGGCTTCTGAAGAGTCCTGCAGATGTTTCTGATTCGCTTTCTACATGCTTTGTTACCAGGTTCGTTGACTCAAAAGGTTGTGCCCTAAACTGTGCATATGGAAGTACCTCTAGCAGGAGCCAGGATGCTTTAATGCCCAGAGAGATGGGCCCTTCTTTCGCTAGAGCTGATCTCCCTTTCTTGCGGCCTGACACTGGTGCTGTGTGAAAAGTCGGTCTCCACCAAACAGGCGTCTAAGCTATGGAAATCCCTGCAGCTGTTCTCCTGCAGGGCAGGCTGGGTAGCTCGCTCCCACCAAGAAACAGGGCAGCTCCTCTTCCAGGCTTCTCTGTTGTTGGACTTGCTTCATCTGTCCTACAGCCTCCAGTGCAGTGAGACTGGCTGGAGGGGCTGTGCAAAACCCCCAGGTTACTTGGAAAGGCATCCTATGCTATGCAATGCAGTGTCATTTCTGTTCCCTACAATGGCTGTGAAACTACTGCCATGCTACAGAGCAGGTGGCTTTCCATCTCATGTGGAGCTGCTTGCTCTCTAAAGCCGAGAGCTGTTTTACAGCTTGATCCAAACCACTTAATGCTCCTGAAGTAGGATTGATTGCAGTCATCAAGCTTTCTCTCTTCCTGAAGTGAGCGAGTCCAGTGACTTCCAGAGAAGGCAAATGAATACTGTGAGCGCGTGGCAGGCACCACCATGCGAGGAAGACTGGGATAGAGGTGAGGAACTTCCCCTCCCCCGCCACAGAGCTGCCTCCTCCCCAGTCCTGTCCTCCAACTCTACTTGGAACAGTGGGAGTCCAGAGATGCCTTCACTTAGGTCTCGCTTGTAGGACACTCTGGTTGACGGTCATTCCTGAACCGCAGCGTTTCCCTGCCTAGAAAGCTGTTCTTAACATCAGGAACTATTCTACACGCCTGCCATAATTGGCACGGGTGTACTTCCAAATGCCTGTGCCTTCCCATATAGGCTGCTGTATCTTCTATGCAACGATGAAAACGAACAGACAGTAATGTTTATATTCCTCAGTTAAATGACAGCAAAGCAGACACTTCTGTCCATCATTAGATCCATTCTTATGTCTTCCTGAGCATGTAGAAATATGACAAAGGCGCTCCTCATCTGATGTGCTGGTGCTTGCTGGGATTGCTTGGTTCTGAGCCACACCATCTGTTTCCTTTTGCAGAGTCATCGGAGAAGTTGACTTCTCTGTTTGTTCAGGGCGTGGTCAACTGTGGCATAAACAGGTAGGCAATGCGAGTCTCCCTTCTTATGACAGTGTTTTGAAAAGATGAGTATTGCAGCCTGCTTCCAAGCCAGCCTTAATGGCTGGGTCTGGGCTGGCATCGCAGCTGTGCAAATCCTGGGAGGAGGGAAACTTTGATTTAACAGTGGCTGTTCATATGGTGCTGGCTCAGTGTTACCTTCTTTCTCCTAGTGACTGCTCTTTACAAGAGGAGGAAGCCCTTAGGCTTGCCAGAACACAGTTACTCTGTGCCTTGCATGCATGTGGCAGGGTATTCTTCCAGCTCCTAGCCTTTGTTCTGTTCCTGCTGGCTGTTTTGCCAGTGTGCAGGGGGGAGAGGTGCTGAGCTGTTGGGCTGACTTGGCGGCGACTGCCTTCGTTTCCTATTTGGAGTTTTTCCAAGCAGTTACTGAGCTTCTGTTGAACTAACGGTTGTCTTTGCAGTTTCTCGTGACCTCTCGTCACCTTAGACTCACTCGGCAGAGCTCTGGCACTAGGGCCCTGTGTTCACAGAAATCCCCTCCTTAACCCTTTGCAAAGTGTAATCACAGTTTAGGTTTGGGGGAGTGAGGAGCTTTGTGGCCAGTTGTGAACTGGGTGGAGTTGCCTTGGCTGGCCTCACTGATCCGACAGTAGACCACTGTTGCAGGCTGTGTACAAGGTGTGATGACAGCACCCGAGTTGCCCAAGGCATGTTTTAAGGTTCATCTAAACCCATATGCAGCAACAGTTCCACAGCTGAGAGCTCTGCAATTCTGTGCAAGCTCTGCCCTGACCCACCTCTCCTCCCGTAAGGGGTGAGACAACGGTGTTATCTGGCTTTATTTACTGCGTTTTCTCAGAAACATCTAGCTCTTCTAAGTACCACCACCTCTGAGCAGCACATTACCCTCCCCTTGTGTCCCTGCCCTCCTCTATACTGTAGTAAAACGCACCAGTTGGAACAAGTGGATTTGCCAAGAGAACTGACGGAAGTCTTTCCATTCCAGTAGCTCCTTGGAACATAAGAACTGCCTGCCTCCAGGATTACGGGCTCCTAAGTCCATTCCACACGCCGTGCTGGAGAAGGCTGTAAGTAATGTGTGTGCGGCCTTGACACTGTGATTTCCGTAGGTGGTGACAGTTACCAACATCTCCTGCCATAGCAGCGCTTTATGGCCAGCACTGTGTGGACAGGAGAGGTACTATGTAATACATGCAGCCTTGAGAGCAACTTCCTAGGAAGTCTGGTGCATGGATCATCCTCTGTATCCTTTCTTTGAAGCATCTTCTGTATGCTTTCTCTTATTTCATAGTCTTGACAGGCCTTCTTTACAGGGGTGCCACCTTAAGCAGCCCCACTCCCCCACCACTTGGACTGCGTGTGTTAACAAGTGCCGCTAGGGCTGCTCAAGCGAAGGGGGGGGGGGAAGGGGGGACCTATCAAACTACATGGGGAGGTGGCAGGGAGAGAGCTTCTCTTGCTGGAGTGTCTGACACTGAAATCACAGACCATCGTTCACCACTAGCAGCAAAACAAAGGCTTAAAGGGGGGTTTGAGGAAAGAGGGGGGAAAAAGACTTTCCCACCCCCCCTTGGGGCACCTGCTTGCAGGCACAGCTCCTGCACAGGCCAGTGATTGTGCAATTGCCATAGTATCAGGCTGAATCTGCCAAACCAAACTGAAATCTTGCTTGTAGATAAGTGTTGCTCCTGAGGTGACAGGTGCTATTCCAGCAAAGGCCGCTCTGACTTTGGCGAGTGGAGGAAGTTCTTGTGTTTTCCTCCTCCTCACGTTCTAAAATGTGTCTTGCCCTCTCCAGAGTTCGGAAAGTTAGTCTAAAAAAAAAAATGGCTCTTTTCTGTCTTCATGGCACCACAGAGCTGCTGCAGGTGTTAAGAGGGTCTCTGGTGCTGACTGCAGCTCTTTGTATACTGGGCTGCTGCCAGGATACATTACCCTGTTTTGCAACATTTGAATTTGTAAAACTAACTCTGGTTGCCAAATCTTTTCCCCAAGCATCTGTTTTGGAAGTTAAGCTCACCTCCGTTTGGTGTGGTCTTTG